GGCTGAGCCTCTGGTGTTTAAAACCCAGCGAGATGCACCTGGTACACAGGTAACAGCCCAGCTTATAGACTGAGACAGACTAGGAAGAAGGAAGAGGCTGTCCACTTCTCAAAGAATTGGCCAGGGAAAACCTTATGAATAACAAAGAAACACTGAGGAGACTAGCATGTTCTTTTCTCTGGAGATTCTTCTGTTCTGCTTGGAAACTTCAGCCATCTGCATCCATAAACAAGCAAAGTCCAGCTCAGTGCAATCCATCAAATTACAGCAACTTAACACCAGCTCAGTGTCAAACAACTTCCTCTTTGTTTGGTCGGGTTCCGGTCAGCTCAGTCCTAGCCATCCTAGCTAGGTCATGGGTACCAACTGCTAAGTTTGGGAGTCACACTCTTCTCTTCACTTCAGACCAGCCAGCACCTTCTCTCACATCCTCATTCCTCAGAGACTATTTCAATGCCCATAGGCTCACAATTCATTGCACTTCAGACCAGCCAGCCCTTCCTTTCATCCCCAGTCTCCATGGCCTAGGTCAAAGAGTACCAAACTCAGCCCATTTCTTCTTTGTTGCACTTCCCCCGTTTCCACTCAAGTGGACCCAAGCAAGTAGCATACAAGCCTGCTACTTGCTGGCTTCCTTTAACTTTCAATCCTGGAAGGGATTTCTCTCATGGACCATGACTTTCCTGCCTTGATGCACACCGCACCAGGTATATCTTTGAAATTTAAACCAGATGTAAAACAAAGACCTAGGTAGAGGTTTGTCTCCACTTTTTCCAAATTTGAAGGTATTATTAGTGCTTGCCTATGACAAATGCCCATTTTAAGGTGTATCGCTTTGCATTTATGTTCTTGTGTGCCATCAAGTCAATTCCAGCACGTACTGGCCTGATAGGACAGAGTAGAACTGCCCCATAGGATTTCCTGACATGTAATCTTTATGGAAGCAGACTGACATGTTTCTCCTGTGGTGGGGTCACACTGCTGACCTTTCTGTTAGCAGCTGAGCACTTAACCACTGCACCATCAGGGCTCATTTCACATCCATAGTTCCCTACCTTGACTGCTTAGGGGGTTTATAGGGCATGATGCCTCTTCAGTACTGAAACTGATCTAAACACTGGCAATGTCATATTGTTCTTTTGCTCTAGGGCATGTTGGAGCACCTCTGCCCTGCAATCATATCAAGCTCATTGATGTCGAGGAGCTGAATTACTGGACCTACAATGGAGAGGGAGAGGTAAACTTAAGCATTTTGCCATTTGTGTCTACGGATGCTACAAGTAGTAAGCAAAAAACAATGGATGTGGAATTATTTTCCTTTCATTTAGTGTGTAAAGTTGCTTTAGATGACAGATTAATTAAACTCTATTAACTGAATTCAGCATCTCCTCTCCTATTTTTGAGGTACCCAGACCCTAAGGCTGGGACTGGGCTTGTCTAAATCAGGATTTGAAATTTTCAAGCTCTTTTTTTTTTTTTTAAGAGTTGGTTTTACATTCAATGTTATGTGTACATTTAGTTTCACTCCCCATTTACCATGTCCAACCCTAACCCAGTCTCCTCCCCTCCCTGCCCAGTAACCCTCCCCCTGTGCCCCTCATAGTTATGCACTCTTGTTTGTCTTGCATTTCCTCAGTGTAAATGTTGCCCCTCTGGTGCCCCGTGGTCCATTGCTCCAAGGGATATATTTCCATAGAGTATGTGGCTACATCCCCCTAGGTTGAGTGGTCTGCATATACATTTTGTTAACTATTAGGCTGAGAGCCAGTCCCTGGGGGTGACATTTATTCTAGGTGCAGAGTATTGGGGGTCTCACCAAACTCCATCCAGCCAGTAATTCTGGTCATTATTGAGTTTTTGGATTTTGTTCCATGTTTTTCCTCCCACTATATCCAGAATCTCCAGATTTGATCCTTTCCTGAGTAGTTGGCATTGGTAGCCAGACACCATCTAGTTCTTCTGATCTCAAAGGCCATTGTGTCCTAGGGCTGATTGCTTCCCAATGCCCTTGTTTTTTTGCACTCTTCTTCACTTCTGATGATAGGAGACCATTAGCTGCATCATAGATGGCTGCTTGAAAGTGTTTAAGACCCCAGTTGCTACTCACCAATGTAGGATGAGGAACAAGGCTTTTATGTATTTTGTTGTGCCAATTGAGTCTGGTGTCCCCCAGTACTATGGCCCTGAGATGGTAGATCCATTGGATCTCTCTCCCACAGTGTCTGGGTGTCTGTGAGGGATTACTCTCAATCTATCTTCTACGGTTTCTGTAAGGATTACAGGTATTTTGTATCACTGGTGTCTGTACAAGATTATCCTCAGCTGAATCTATCCTTGGTCTAGAGTATACTCCTGTTCACTGACCCCCATCTGATCTTCTCTGGTGTTTATGGGTTTATCTGTAGCCTGGTGTTTGGTGTTAATGGTAATGCAGTATTGTGGGCACATTGGTTGCTATTAGCATCTGTCATCTATCTCCTATGTGCACAATTCAGTGTCCTCCTTTTTCCTAATGTTATCATGGTGGTCTCACATTCTTTCCATATATCCCTCCCCTTACCCATGTCAGCATGTAGGTCCCAACTAGCCTGAAATTAATCCCTCCCCTTCCCTCCCCACCTTGGTAACCTAGAACGTGAGTCCCCTTTCACAAGCAAACTGTTCTTTGTCTTTTTCACTAATGAGCTCATACATTACTTGTCCTTCTGCGATTGACTTATTTCACTCAGCATAATGCCCTGCAGGTTCATCCATGTGGTGAGATGATTTGCGTATCCCTCATTGTTCTTAAATGTAGCATAGTATTCCACTATGTGCATGTACCATAATTTGGTGATCCACTCATCCATTCATGAGCATTTAGGTTGTTTCCATCTCTTTGCTATAGTGAATTGTGCTGCAATGCACACAGGTGTGCATGTGTCTGTTCATGTGCTGTCTCTACCTCTTTAGGATATATTCTTAGTAATGGAATTGCTGGGTCAAATGGTACTTCTATTTTCAGTTTTTTAAGGAAATGCCATACCATTTGCCACAATGGTTGTACCATTTTACAATCCCACCAGCAGTGCACAAGAGTTCCAATCTCTCCGCAACCTTGCCAGTATTTGTTATTTTGTGACCTATTGAACTTTGCTATTATTGCTGGGGTGAGATGATATCTCATTGTTGTTTTGATTTGGAGCTCTGGTAGCATAGTGGCTAAGACACTTGCCTGCTAACCAAACGGCTGGCGGTTCAAACCCACCAGCCACTCCTCGGAAGGAAGGTTGGGCAATCCTACTTCCGTAGTGATACTGCCTCGGAAACCCAAGGAGGGGTCGCTATGAGTCGGGTTTGACTCGACGGCACATAACAACAACAACAACAATGATAAATGATCACGAGCAGTTTCTCATGTGTTTGTTGGCTGCCTGTGTATCTTCTTTGGTGAAGTATCTGTTCAAGTCTTTTGCCCATTTGTGAATTGGGTTATTTGTCTTTTTGGTGTTGAGGTGTTGAATATTTCTGTAGATTTTGGAGATAAGTCCTTTATCAGATATGTCATAGGCAAATATTTTCTCCCAATCTGTAGGTTCTCTTTTCACCCTTTCAATGAAGTCTTTCAATGCACATAGGAGTTTGATTTTTAAAAGGTCTCAGTCATCTAGCTTCTCTTCTACCTCCTGTGCATTCTGGATTATGCTTGATAGTCTATTTATGCCATAAATTAGGGCCCCCAGATTTGCCCCTATTTTATGTTTGATGAATTTTATAGTTTTGTGTTTTACATTTAAGACTTTGATCGAACTTGAGTTTTGTTTTTGTGTGTGGGGTGAGGTATGGGTCTTGTTTCATTTTTCTGCAAGTGGATATCAGTTTTGCCAGTACCATTTGTTAAAGAGACTGTCTCTTCCCCATTTAAAGGGTTTTGGACTTTCATCAAAGATCAGCTGTCCATAGATGGCTGCGTCTATATCTGGACTTTCAATTCTGCTCCATTGGTCTATCTGTCTATCATTGTGCCAATACCATGCAGTTTTGACTACTGTGGCTGTATAGTAGTTCTTAAGATCCGGGAGTGTGAGACCTCCCACTTTGTTCTTCTTCTTCAGAAGTGCTCTGCTTATCCGAGGTCTCTTTCTTTTCCATATGAAGTTAGTAATTGGTTTTTCCATGTCCTTAAAAAAATTTGTTGAAATCTGGATCAGGATTGCGTTAAAAGTGTAAATTGCCTTAGGTAGTATTGACATTTTCACAATATTCAGTCTACCCATCCAAAACAAGGTACGTTCTTCCATTTATGTAGTGCCCTTGTTGTCTCTTGTAGCAGTGTTTTATAGTTTTCTTTGTATAAGTCTTTTGTGTCTCTGGCAAGGTTTATTCCTAGATATTTTATCTTTTTAATAACTATTCTAAATGGTATTGTTTCCCTTATTTCTTTATCAGAGGACTGGTGTAGAGGAATCCAACTGATTTTTGTATGTTGACCTTGTATCCTGCCACTTTGCTGAACCTCTCCATTAGTTCCAGTAGATTTTTTATTGAGTCCCTTGGGTTTTCTATGTACAGGATCGTATCGTCTACAAACAAAGATAGTTTTACTTCCTCTTTGCCAATTTGTATGCCTTTTATTTCTCCTTCTTGCCTTATTGCCCTGGCCAGGACTTCCAATACAATGTTAAATAGAAGTGATGATAGAGGGCATCGCTGTCTAGTTCCCGTTCATAAGGGAAATGCCTTGAGTTTTTCTCCATTAATAATGATGTTGGCCGTTGGCTTTGCATGTATGCCTTTTATTATGTTGAGGAATTTACCTTCTATCTCTATTTTGCTGAGAGTTCTGAATAGGAACGAGTGTTGGATTTTATCAAATGCCTTTTCTGCATCAATTGATATAATCATATGGTTCTTTTCTTTGTTCTGTTTATGTGATGAATTACATTGATTGTTTTTCTGATGTTGAAGCACACTTGTAAACCTGGTGTGAGTCCCACTTGGTCAGGGTGTATTAGTGTTTTGATATGTTGTTGTATTCTGTTGACTAGGAGTTTGTTAAAGATTTTTGCATCTGTGTTCATGAGAGATATCGGTCTGTAGTTTTCCTTTTTAGTGTTGTCTTTCCCTGGTTTTGGTATTAGTGTTATGCTTGCTTCATGAAATGGGTTTGAGAGTATTCCATCTTCTTCTATGTTCTGGAATAGCTTGAGTAGCCTAGGTGTCAACTCTTCTCTGAATGTTTGGTAAAATTCTCCTGTGAAGCCATCAGGGCCAGGACTTTTCTTTGTGCAAAGTTCTTCATGACCTGCTCAATTTTTTCTTTTGTTATAAGTCTGTTCAATTTTTCTATCTCTGAGTGGGATATTTTAGGTAGGTCTTGGGATTCTAGAAACTTGTCCATCTCTTCTAGGTTCTCAAATCTGTTGGAGTACAGTTTTTCATAATATTCTGTCAGTGTCTTTTTTATTTCAGTTGGTTCTGTTGTGATGACACCCTTTTTGTTTACAATTCTTGTGATTTGGATCTTCTCTTTCTTTTCTTTTGTTAGATTTGCCAATGGCTTATCGATTTTATTAATCTTTTCAAAGAACCAACTTTTTGTTTTGTTGATTTTCTTTATTCTTTTTGTTTTCTGATTCATTTATTTCTGCTCTGATCTTTATTATTTCCTTGCTTCTAGATACTATAGGATTCTTTTGTTATTTTTTTCTAGTTGTTGACGTTGATGAATGAGAGTGTTGATTTTGTTTCTTTCCTCTTTTTTGATGTATGCATTTATTGCTATAAACTGTCCTCTGAGTACTGCTTTCACTGTGTCCCATAAGTTATGGTATGATGTGTCTTCATTCTTGTTTGTTTCTAGGAATTTTCAAGCTCTTTTAAAAATCTATTTTTTCCCTAACTGTTGCATGGCCTGCTGCTATGGCTGTGTTATCTGTCCCACCAGAGACATTCCCATTTACAGGTAGGCTAGATGCAGTAGACATAGGTGGCCTATACTTGTTTGTTCCCTAGAAGTGGATCAGCACAAAGTAGATGGGAAAGCTGTCTGCCTGTTAGGGACGAAGGGGGAGGTCAAGCTTCTCTAGTAGATGAGCCACCATCAATATCTGTGATGAGACCCCATCCAGTGTCACAAAGCTGCCTGTGCCAAGGTCCAGGGGCTTCCTGAGGAGGGAGGGATGGTGGAGACCTAGAGTGACTGGTGCAGGGAGGCCACCTGGAAAGATGTGACGCTGCTTGAGAGAAGGTGGGAGAAAGTTCAGACAGTTGGTGACTGTTCCCTGTCCTTCATTTCCATCACTGAAGTTTCCACAGTGATTTCTTGAGGAATAGTGTGCAATTCTATGCATCTCATGACAGCCTCACATCACTCCACTCCCTACATTCTGGGCTGAGAGAAACAATGGTATTTGTTCCCACAGATATGTGTGAGAGGACCAAATGTGTTTAAAGGTTACTTGAAAGATCAAGAGAGGACAGAAGAGGCCCTGGACAGTGATGGCTGGCTTCACACTGGAGACATTGGGAAATGGCTGCCGGTGCGTATGTTTGGAACCATGGAGTGAGTGCCAGATAATTTGGTGTGGTGGAAGGGTGTATAATCTGATCAACTGCTGAGACAGGAGTCTTCTTCATGTTATCCCTGACAATTAGGCAGTCAGGGATTGGGAGGCTCTTCCTTACCTTCCCCCCAAAGCCTCCTCCCTCCCTCTGTTCCCATGCAGGGTGATGAGGGACCTTTGTGGGAGGATATACCTGGAGTCTTTGAGACTGACTCCCTATTCTTAATGGTTTCTAGACAGAGGTGATAGTCTTGTTGGAGCCTGTCATAGACTAGAGGGAGAAGAGGGTTTTTATCTCTAGAAGAGCTGAGAAAGTCAGGGCCTGTGAACTCAAGGACTTGACCCTTAGCTGAGAGGTGCCACAGAGCAGTGGAAAGCTTGGAGCTGGGCAGGAGGGTGCCTGGATTCCTATGCCTCTGCCGGTAGTCACTCTTGTGACTCTTGTGACCTTAAGCAAGACTTATCATCCTTCTCTGGGACTCCACATTGAGTCACTTGTACAATAAGAGGGCAAAGTTACATGACATTCTTTGGGCTATGCCCCCAACCCAACTTTAAGTCAAAACCAATTAGTGTGCCTCAGTTTTCTTACTTGTAAAGTGAAGATAATATTTTTTACCTCATAGGGCTATTGCTGTGATACCTTTAAGTTTATACTTATTAAATATGTGTGTGTGTGTGTGTAAACCCATTGCTGTCAAGTTGATTCCAACTTACAGTAACCCTATCATGACCCTAAAGGACAGAGTAGTAGGGTTTGCAAGGCTGTAATCTTTATGGAAACAGATTGCCACATCTTTCTTCCATGGAGCAGTTCATAGATTTGAGTACCCAGATTTCAGTTAGCAGCCAAGCACACTTAACCACTATACCATCAGGGCTCCATATATATCTATACCAAACCATATATATACCAAACCAAAAACCAAAACTCATTGCCATAGAGTTAGAGTGAAATCCGACTCATAGCAACCCCTCCTTGGGTTTCTTTCTTATTTATATATGGGAGCTCTGGTGGCGTAGTGCCTGAGGCATTTGACTGCTAACCAGAAGGCTGGCGGTTCAAACTCACCAGCCACTCCTTGGAAGGATGGTTGAGTAATCTACTTCTGTAGTGATACCACCTCGGAAACCGAAGGAGGGGTAGCTGTGAGTCAGGTCCGACTCAACAGCAGTGAGTGAGATACATATATATAACTTATTAAGTATATATTACAAACATACTTGTGAAATTATACCTGTGAAGTACTTCTTAGCACAATGCCTGGCACATAGGAAACAACTGAAAGCTATAACCAGCAAAAGACTGTCACTGAAACAGTGGAACCTTTCTGGTGTCTCTGAGAGTTACTGAGGCTTTGGCTGGACGTTTTGAGGTGTTATGTCTATGAGACACATGAATGGTATCCTGCCCTCCTAGGCACTCTAGGCTAGTGAGCTGATTTGCCCCTGCTTGGATCTGTGTACTTCCTTTGAGAAACATCATTCCTGCAGCAGACAAGGATATGGTCCCACTGTATTCCCTAGGCCAGGAACTCAGCTCAGGGGGATAGAATCGTCTTTAGAGTTTCCAACCCAGTGTGATTGGTATGAACTGAGAGGTCACACTCACTTGGGGGGCGGGATGAGGCAGAAGAAGGCAGGCAACTAGAGGACTGCTTGTCTCAGGATATGAGTCATGTTCTCAGGAGAGAGGTGAAGGTGGGAAGAACATTCAAGGCAGAATCACTAGCTTGTGTTAAAGTAGAAATACACTAGAGGTGTGAGACAAGCAATTCCAACTGAGTGTCCACAAGTATGGCAGGGAGAGGCTTGAGAGGTTAATGGGGCCCTGGACATCTGCAGATTGTCCCATCAGCTAAGGAAGCTTATGCTTTGGCGTCTCTCACTTGTATGGTCCCCTCCTAAGCCTCTCCATGTCCTTTTATGTTACTTTTCTTAAAGAAAGCCCTCCCCCACAAAAAAATTGTAAAAGCTTGAAGCCCCACAAAGCCCTAGCTCTGCCACTGATTTCTTATAACTGTCTTGAATGAAGCCATCCACCATGCAGGTGTTGGGAAAAGCCAATGAATTAATTCATGTGAAGCACTTAGTGTTATGCTGAAACACAGAACCCAAGACAGCAGGCAGGCAGGCAGTCTGAGAGTCACTTTTAAAAAGTTGATATAGATAAGAAAAAGGCATAAGCTTCCAACTCAGAAAAACCTGGTTTCAAATCTTTGTTTCCCTATCCCTTGGCTGTGTTGCTTGGGAGAAGTTAATTAACCTCTCTGATCCTCACTGTCCTCATCTGTGAAACATAAATGACAACACCCAGCTCATGGGGGTGCCATGAGGACCAAAGGAGAGAGTGTAGGTAAAGCATCTGCTGTCCAGCCTGCGTTCTGAACAAAACAGTGTCATATTTGTTTTTCTGTTCTGGAAAGATTGCTCTGGTTCTGGTGCATCAAGCAGATGGAGCAGGGACAGAGTGGATGCAGAAATCCAATCAGAAGGAGGTGGATATGAGAGGGATTTATGAGGGAGAACTGATGAACCTGACTGCTGAAAGGCCCATGAGAGGCAGATAGCAAGGTTGTCTCCAGGTTTGGGATTGGGGTCTAGGGCAGGCTTGAGGAGGACAATGATGAGCTTCGTTTGGGGCAAGTTGCATGCTTCAAGAAAGACAGCCTAGTTTCTAAAACATTCTGAAGGCAATTACGTTCTGGATCTGGATCTCAAGAGGCTGGAACTGGAAGCTTAGGCAGATGTAAGAGTGGCCACTGAAGAGATAAATGGTGATTATCTCAAGAACCATTGTTAGTGGAAGTGAGGAAAGTGCAACATTTAGGAGTGAGCCAATGGAGAGAGGCCCACCCAATTTCCCAGTATATTAGTTTCCTGTGGCTGCCATAACAAAGTACCACAAACTGGGTGGCTTGACACTACTTAAATTTATCCTTTCATAGTTCTGGCGGATAGAAGTTGGAAATCAAGGTGTTGGCAGGGCCACACTCTCTCTGAAGGCTCTAGGGAAGAACTTGCCTTGCCCTTCTAGCGTCTGGTGGTTGCTAGAAATCCCTAGCTTCCATAGCTGCATCATTCCAATCCCTGCCTTCATCTTCACATGGCATTTTCCCTGTGTCGGTGTCTCTTTATCACTTGTCTTCTTATAAGAGCACCATTCATATTGGATTTGGGCATACTATATTCCAGTAAGACCTCATCTTAGCTAATTACACCTGCAAAGACTCTATTTCCAAATAAGGCCACATTCTGATGTTCCAGGATGGGCATGAATATTGGAGGACACTGTTCAATGGTACACCTGGGAAACTCAAAAAGGTTGAAGGGAGTCAGGGAGGTAAGCGGGGTCCTGGAGGTCAGGGTCATATGCACTCACTGCTGGAGGGAGTGGCCTGCCTGTTGCAAAGGTCCTGGAGTGGTGAGTATTCTTAGTGCTATCTGACTTGTCCAATGAGAGTCTCTGAGGCCTCTCCAAAGTTGTGCTCTGTGCTGGGGTGAGAGGCTGGTCTATGGAGGTGGAAGCAGTGGCGGGGGCAAGAGGCCTTAGCATGGTCTAAGGGAGCGAAGCTGAAATATTGGTAAGAAAAAGGATAGCTACAACAAGGGCCACCTAGGTGATAAGAGAAGTCTGGTGGGAAGGTGCTAGGCCTTCTGAGAGGAGGAGTGCTGTTGAGTGTGAAGGGGATTGTAGGAAAGGGGTAGGTGCAGGGAATAATTGCTAAGGAGAAAGGACAGTAAGTGCTTAGGACTGGGCAGAGCTTGGACATCATCAGCCTGCGGTGAAAGATGGCTCTCTTCAGCCAACAGAAGAACTTATCAGGTGGGGTCTGCAGGGTGGGACAAGACAGAAGTGAAAGGCTTAAACTCAAGAGACATCAAGACATCTTTCTCAGGAAGCTGTTTTTTCAACTCCACAGACGGGAACTCTTAAAATTATTGATCGGAAAAAGCACATATTTAAGCTTGCTCAGGGAGAATATGTTGCACCTGAGAAGATTGAGAACATCTACATCCGGAGTGAGCCTGTGGCACAAATATATGTCCATGGAGACAGCTTAAAGGTGAGGTCCCTGTGCTTCAGCCCTTTCACGTGTACTGGGCCTGATGAAAAAGCCAACAAATACTATACTAAGCATTGGTATTTGATTAATGTGGTAAACAGTAATTTCAAATCATATACCAGCATTCTCCTATATGTATGAAATGATGCGAGTAAAATCGATTTTAAAGGAGAAATCTTCATTATTTGTAATTTGATAAATTGCAGTGAGGTCAAATAAGTTGCTTGAAGTAGTAATAACGAACATTCTCACCACTTGTAGTTTATGCTCCACCTACTTCCCAGGATTTTTGAGGGGAGATACTAAAGGAGGAATCTAGACAAGGGCATCCTCATTCCAATGTCTTTCTAGGTCAGGATTCAGGATTTCTGTTATTGTACTTTTAAAATACACAAAGGTATCTTACAGAAAAATGTATAGAGTAGTGCAAATAATATTATTGATAATATAACTTATTAATATTATTTGGATAGCAATTATACTTATTCTATTTCTAACATCATTTGGATTTGAAGTCAGATCTGATATGGTATCATTGGATTTATATACTTAAATATTATTAAATTATGCTTAGAGAAAAAGCTTTTTTAGAAGAAATTAAAATGCTCCTCATAAGTGAAGGTAATAAGTGAAGGAAACAGTTTTAAAATGATGTGACTATCCTGAATATTTATGTGTTCTGGCTCATAGAGTTTGGATCAGAGTTGTTTGATTAGCATCCAAAAGATGGGCTGATTAAAGATTGGCATGAGGGTCAAAGGTACATATTGATCTAACTTTACTTATTCTTAATCTTCTTAATGTTATTCTTTCTTTCTTTCTTTTACAAAGTTAGAATTATATATCAGCAAAGGAACAGTCAAGAGCATGTGCTATTTTGGGGAAAATGTTTCATAATACAAGAAGATACTTATTTTTAGAAAGGGTGAAGTCTTTGAGAACACCAAGAGATTATTTTTAATCCTGGCCCACAAGTAGCTACTTTAAAAGCTTTCGTCATGACTGTTTTCCTTTGGTGGGAATTGCAGGCCTTTTTGGTAGGGATTGTTGTGCCCGACCCTGAAGTCATGCCCTCCTGGGCCCAGAACAGAGGATTTGAAGGGACATATGAAGAGCTTTGCACAAATAAGGTAGGTATCTCTGGGCTATCTCCTAAAAAGTTGCTGAATTCTTTATGATATGGCATAATGACAAGATAAGAAAAGCAGTAGATCAATGAAATTTGACTATGCAGGTAAATGCCTAACATTTTTAAAAATGATAAACATCTCAAACCAGAAATTCATCTCTTCTGGCTGAAGGAACTCATATTTCCTCTTAAGAAGTTTGAGAAACCATTGCATTTTAGAGCCAGAAGATATCACAGAAAACTTACCCAGCTCTGTTGCTTTGTAGATTGGAAGAGAGTCCAGAGAGGGAGGGATTTACCAAGGCCACACAGCTGTTAACAGGAGTGTTGGATGTGAGCACAGCCTCCCTGACTCACTGGCCACATTCTTTCCAAATGTCCAGTAGAGTTAGTTCCCTACTAGCCTTAGAAAGACAGTCGTGGAATTGAAAAAATAATACATTTCTTCGCTCTGAGAGTGTTAGCCCCTCACAGCTTTCAGAAACCTTCTTGTGGCACATGTAGGGCTCTGTGCTGCCTACTAGAGGAGCATCGCTGTGCTTTGACCCTGAATTAGCCCCTTGAGTCACACATTCATATTTCAGCAACATATCATACCCCTGGGGATGGCAGGGCCCCTGAGACTCACCAGGTTAAGCAGAAGCCTCTTTTAAAAGAAAAAATTGAGTGGTCCCTTAGCCTGTTTATGGCCACTATTTGGCCATCCCCAGCACTGACTTGCCTGATGTGAGGTGGTGATTGACATGCTGCCAGGAAGTATGTGAGGTGGGAGAGGGAGTCAGCACAGCTGCCAGTTGTACTTTGCTCAAAACTCATTGTTTCCTTTATCTCCACTTTAAAATGTATTCTTGCCTTGTAATTGTGTTTATATGGTTCAATTCAGGATGTGAAGAAAGCCATTTTGGATGATTTGGTGAGATTAGGAAAAGCAGGTGGACTCTATTCTTTTGAACAGGTAAATTTTACCTTCTGTATACTCAATACAGCCCTTTATTCACTGATGGAAATTTACCCCTGGTGAACCTGATCTAGATTCCTGCTCCGTATGCTGTGGCCCTCTAGCAGGTTGTGTACTGTGTACCAAAGGAGCCTTGAAGGACTGTTTCAAGCCCTGTGATAGCCTGCCCCCTGAACTGAAAGAGATCATCTGTAGAGTACGATTGTATTCTTCCTTATAATTAAAGATGTTCATATGGGTGAAATATTAACCCAGCTGTCACTAGCAGATCGTGTGTTCACAGTCTGTCTCCAAGCTAACTGCAGTACTCAAGACCAGAGTCCTGTCTTCTTTTTATTTTTATGGGGATCTAAAAGACATTAGCTGTCTTCTTAGCCACAGCTGGTGAGCTTAATTGCTATGAGGATATCGGAAAGATAGGGCTGGTCAGGCCATTGATCTGTCAACCCAGCATGTCCTCTACAAAGGGGAGGCAACAGAGAACATGTTGGGAGAGGACCGAGAAGTCCTCTGAGGGCTTTGTCTTTGCAAGGTTAGACTCTTACTATAACTTGGTTCAGAAGTATACTTGGTCCTATTTACATATATCATCAAGCCATCCTCTTTAGTCCAAATTTCAAAAAGAAAAATTTTTTAATACATTGATTTTGAAAACTTCCTTATATTTAGAATAACTGTTTTTTTCATAAAATGTTGTTTCTCCAACAGGGTTCTCAAAAAAAAAAAAAAATAGTATTAGGGATCTGTAAGGTTTATGTAAAATTTTTAACTTTTTTCCTAGTTTGTAATTGTGTGTGTGTGTGTGTGTGTGTGTGAGTGACTTGGGTGAAAGTCAACAGAGAAAATTCATCTTCTGTTTAACAATTCATACACATTTTGTCTCATGACATTGATTACAGTCCTCACAATTTAACAGCTCTTTTTCTAATTCCTACCTGTGTTACCTTTTCCCTGTGTCCTTTCCTATGCCTTCCTGCCCTCTGAGCTATCTCCCAGCGCAAATGCTGCCATTCTGATCCCTCATGTTTAATTGTTCTAAGGGTTGTATCTGCCTGGTGTATTTGTTCACCTCGTGGGTCTAGCTACTGCTTGGCTGGAAGTTAAGCTACAAGAGTGAGTTCAGTTCCAGGCCTGAAGGGCAAGTATGGGCCATAGTCTTGGGGGTTCTACCAGTCTATATCAGACCTATGAGCCTGGTCTTTTTTATGATTTTGAGTTTTGTTCCACATTTTTCTCCACTCTATCCAGGATCTCTAATTTTGAACCCTTTCCAAGTGGTTGTCGGTTATAGCCAGGCACCATTTAGTTTTTCTGGTCTCAGGGTCATGTAGGCTGAGGTTCCCATGGCCCACTGATGCATCTTTGATTTTCTTCACTGTTCTTTGCTCCGGATGAGGAGAGGCCAACTTTTGCATCCTAGATGGCTGCTGGCAAGCTTTTAAGACCCCAGTCACTACTCATCAAAGTGGGGTATAGAACATTGTTTTTGTGTAGTATGTTATGCCAGTTGAGCTTGATGTCCCCCGCAGCCATGGTCCCAAGCATTCAGGCCCAGTGACTTACTTCCTCCAGGTGTTTGGCTGTGACTAAGAAGTTATCATAACTTTGCTTCCTATTAGCTCTGTTATATATATGGACATTCTTATAGCACATACAAATACATGTAGCAAAATTATCTGCCAAACCTATATATGGTCATGGGTATATTCCCATTCACCTACCCATACTTGATGATTTTGACTGTCTACCTATGTATCTACCCACAGATTAATGTTTGTTATTGATAATGCAGTACTGTGTATGTAAAAGTATTTACTTTTGTCATCTGTTTCTCTTGTGCACCTTTCTGTGTCTTCCTTTTCCTTAGTGTCATTGTACTGGTCACTCATTTTTGGTATATTGCCTTTCCTTTCACCCAAATCAATGTGTGTCTCTTACCTAGGTAGAAACTTTCTTTTTACTTTTGTATATTCATTTTGATGATAACCTAAAAACATTTTGTTCTGGTTACCTAGTGCCTCTCTGACAAGAATATACCACAAATGGAATGGCCTTAACAAACAGGAGTTTATTCTTACAATTTGGAGGCTTTAAATTCAAGTTCAAAGTGCCAGGTTCTAGGGGCTGAGCGTAAGCCCCTCAACCTTGGGGTCCAGCTCTGCCTCCTGCTCCTGGCCCACTGGAGCTAGAGGCATTTCTTCACTCAGACAGCTGCTAGCTGCTGAGGCTGACAAGCCCCAAGGTTGACAAGTAAAAATGCACAGTCCTGATGTTACCAAACCACACAGCAGGCCATTAACTTAAGTCCATTTTAAGTCCCAAGGTTGGCAGAGCATCGCAGGCTGCTGAACAATGACACGGCTACATGCAGGGTTCAAGCATGCCATAGGCTAGAGACCATTCCCAAGGCTTCTCCTTATATACAGGAAGCAGACCACATCCCAAAGGAGCTACTCAGCTGCTTGTGGTAGATCCCATCATGGAGCTGATTGTCAGCCTCATCATGGGGAATAACTACCACCAGCTGCCCAGCCATTCAACCAGGCCAGCCAAATTGACACACAAACATAACTACCACCCATTTTAAAACCAGTTTTAAATATAAAATTCTTGCAGTGATAATTTGTAGTCTAAAAATATTTGCACAGATTAAGGCTTTACTTTCTTACATTTCAAACTGAGAAAATATAAAAATGAGGTATTTAAACTAATTAATTAATTTAATACCAGGGCTTAAAAGAATTGTTTTCTTCTGAGATGGATCTTGACATTAATCCAGCTTGAGAAACACTGCTTTATATCTGTTATTATATTTTTGGGTAATTGAAACCCAGATAAATGAATCTTTATTTTAGAAAATTATAAAGTCTGAAGCGTTCAGACAAGTCATGTTTGTCTTTAGGAATAAAAGGTCAGTTCTGGCATAATAATTATTTAGATTTCTGAATTTGCCAGCACTGACTGCATTGCCTTTCCTTAATCGAAAGCTGTGTGACTGGATCATGTGATCATGTAGAGCAGGGGCCACACTCCAGTGGACCCAGGCCTGATTGATCTGGACCTATGAGTTGCTTTGAAGGGCTGGCTGTGAAGGAACTGAAGGCAAGTTAGCTTAAGCTGTTTAGCCCCTGTGGACATCCTTGGGCAGTCACAAGCTCTGCATGCCCCCTGCTGGCCCTGGATGAGTGACTTGACCCAGGGCATGTAGAGAATTGTAATATTCATCAATTCATGGGAAAAACAATACAAACTCATAAGATGATACTTAAACGGGACCTTTGGTTTACCTCTCTAGTGTTAACAGTTGCTTTGGTTAGAAGAGCATGTTCTTGACTTTACACATGCCCTAAGCAGAGGTTTCTGATCTAATCTGTCCTTTCCATGGTAACCTCAAATACAGGAAGACATGTGGCATCCCAGAGGCCTTTAATTTTATTTCCAAGCTATCACCTCCTGATTTTGTCTGTTCTAATTCTCCTCTTTGTTGATCTGTGGCCAGATCAATCCCACCACAGCCAGTGTGTGCCCTCAGCTGACCACAAGAGGGCAAAAACCAGGCCTCATACCTGAGTAGGGTGTGCTCTCTGTTGTGTTCCAAAGCCTGACAAATTATTTAGGTTATAATTCAGTGTCAGCTTGTTCTTTTTCTTCTTTCTCAAGAATTAATTAGAGTTAAGGCTTAACTCTAATTTAAAATACACACACTCACAGTAGTGTGTTAAAGCTTAAATTATCCAACAAAAGCTTTTTAAAGTTCAGACTAACTGGCCTGGGTTGGTCTGAATTAAACTTTGAAGTAGAAAAAAAAATGTAATTTAATTTTCAGAAATAGTTCCTAGATGTAGATTAACATTATTCATGGAGATCATTGGGAGATATATTTTTAATGATTAGATCAGAAGCATTTAAAATAATTGTACAATGATTAAAATATGTAAAAAAAAAAAAAAAAAAGGCAACCATTGCCGTGGAGTTGGATCCGACCCCTCCTTGGGTTAAGATATGTGGGTGCCTGGTAAGTACTTGAGCATACTTAATCATTATTTAACTATTTCCTTAACAGTTGTATGCCTTATTATTTTGCATAAGCAATACAAAACTCAAGACTGTTGTTGTTATGTGCCATTGAGTCGGACCCAACTCATAGTGACCCCTCTTTGGGTTACTGAGGCAGTATCACTGTGGAAGTAGATTGCCCAACCTTCCTTCCGAGGAGTGGCTGGTGGGTTTGAACTGCCAGCCTTCTGGTTAACAGTCAAGCACCTTAGGCATTATGCTACCAGAGCCCCTAACTTTGACACTAGATTTTTCAAACTCTGGGTAGCAAAGCCCTAACTAAAACATTTTATTATATTTCCTGTCATTGAAATGAATACTTACCTAGCCAATTTGCCTTTGAATCAGAAGTGAATTGAGCATTTCCATAATTAATTTAAATACTTTTTTACTTTTGCTCTTCTGTCTTAAATTATTCGCTCCATGTTTTTATGTACAAAAAATATTGTGTTAACTTCTTTTATTTAGTAATACCATTGAAAAACTTAAAATATTATGTATTTTCAAAACAATGAAAATTTCTCTGCTTTAATGTAATGCCAATAAACTGAAGTTTTTGAGATCTTTTATTCAATGTCATATTTAAATATTGCAGTATTTCTAAATTAAAAAAAAAAAAGGAAACAAACCCATAGAATCTCTTTTCAATGATAAGAGTATAGTTTCAGGAAAGGAAGAGCATCTCCTTCCTTCTTTTCACAACAAAATGTTGCCTGTTAAAATTGGAAAACCAGTTTCATAGTGTGCTTTGTATAAAGGTAGAATAAAGAATCTTATACCTTTTTTTTATAAATTCACAATTGAACAGTTTGATTTTATGGGAAAATATATAATCATTTTAGAAAATGAAAATTGGTTTTATCACTGATGCACTTGTGAAAAAAGAAACTATAGGTTTGGGGCCCACAGTTATGATCAGCATTAGTCAAACAACTGATTTG